CCCCAAAACCCCAAAACCCCAAAACCCCAAAACCCCTTTCCTCTCAAAAACAATTGATAAAGAATTTTACAACTAAATTTGATAAATAAATAAACATAATGGCTTCTATCCTGAATTTTGCTTCGGATCTGAATGAACAGAGCAGCAGCCTACTAGACTCGTTTGCTCGCTCCACTATTACTTGTCTTAATTTCTCTGAAGAACCTAAACCCCACCATAACCAACAAGAAGAAGATAAACTATCTATTGAAAGAGATAACAGCTTTGAGCAGGATGTCGGGGAAGAACTGTTCCATTACGACCCTAACATGCCGGATGAAGAAGACGATCTCTCCTTTGATCGTAGCGCAAGTACCAACGAAAATTCCCATGAAAGCTCGAGAGGAGATGACAAAAGACATCAGAGCCAGCAATCTTCTACAGATGCTAATGAAGAGAACCAGTCAAATTCTGAAGAAGATAAACAACAGGAACAGAAAAATGAAGATGAGCCTATGAATAATGGTCGTGATTACTCACAATCTGATCATCTCATGAGACCTGATAATGTCAGAAAAGCAACCATCAGGGCTTTAAATAAGATTCTGAAGACTTATATTGATGAATCTTTGATTGAGTATAAATAAAATTACCAAGATCAATCTCAAGAAGAAGTTCTCTCAAAGAAGAGTAGAGACGTATAACTTCATTAAAGATCGCATCTCCAGAATTATAGACAATACCACATCCCCTGAAATATCCGAAAGGAAATATAAAGGCATTTATGCTATTTTATTTCATATGTGTCTTAGAAAGAAGAACCCAATGGACTCCATGATCAGCTTCTCTAATAAATCTGAAATGAAATCTGTCGAAAGAGAGCTTCTGAAATATATCAAGCAAGGCCAGTCCTATACTAAGGCCGATGGAGAATTCTGTTTTAATCACATACTTATGAAAACTGCCAAAAGACTATATTTTGGAAATGTCGAATATAGAGAGGTATTCAAACAGCAAGCCCTAAATACCAACAAAAAGGCCGGAATCATCGATCCAGAAGGATACTTCAACCGCTTGGAAGAAGAAATCAATAGAATCCCAGAATATTTATAATTGTTATTATAAATTTCCCCAAACCCTGTCTAACATATAATTCAACGCCGTAGATAACCAACGGGGTTTTGGGGTTTTGGGGTTTTGGGGTTTTGGGGTTTTGGGG